TTTTCAACACATTTCTAACATAATAGTTTTACTAACTCATTTCTAAAATGTAATCTTTGCTATAGTATATAATATTTTACTAGATTTTTTCAAAACACTTCTATAGAGCTTAAAGTGACATTTAAAGGTTTAACTCGGTTAATATTTTAACTAGGCAGGTTAGAGTAATTAGACAAATTATTGTATAACGATGGTTTGTTTTGTAGACTATCAAAAAAAAGTATAGATTAAAGGGGCTAATAATCTTGACCTTAAAATGATTTTTAAAAAATTAAAAACTGCTTTCATTCTTGCCGAAATAAAGCAAATAAGACTTTCTCAAGAAGAAGAAAAACTATTATTAGACATACATTTCCTTGCTCTGTTAATAATAATTTGGGAAATATTTAAAAAAGAAAAAAAATCAAAGGGGGGCTAATAATTCTGACCTCAACTGTATGTATATATATAGATGACATTCACTGAAGTTAAAACAGATATGACCTCTTAGTGGCCACAGCTAATGTGCCTCCAAGCAGATACTGTACCTACATTATTCAGTCATTTATAATGTAGTTGTGATTCATGTGTGCGTTTGGGTATACGAATAGTGAGATACAACTTACATGACATACAATACACATACATACTTGTGGAAGGCTTGGCAATTACTGTCAGAGAACGCAGAAGTAAAATGCTCTCTCATGTATCATTGGAGCTGTGGAGAAAAGGGCTGTGTGAGAATTGCCTCAGTGACATTGAGACTGTCCTAGTATTTCCCACACACATGCTGTCATAAATTGCTGTGCAGAGCAAAGCAGCTGTTGACTCATTTGTAATAATAGGCATCCAGGGTGTTTCTGTATGCTGTAATAAAATGCGTTATGTATAATGATGTGCGTTCATTTGCCTACTGAATGGCCAGGCTGGTCTCATCCGTTCAGTCTGGCTCCCTGATGGGAAGGACATAAGCGTCTTTCTGTGTGTAATTTTTTTTTTCCTCTCTGGCTGGATGGTGTGTGCTGTGGTCCGTGATTAACTCATTGCTGCTGCGGCCGTGACCTGTCACCATGTGGCCTTCTCTCTGCTTTTCGCATTACCATCTAAGAGCTGCTTCATTAAATTTGCATCATATGAGTGGATTTATCACTCTCTATTTTTTCAGTTCCTCAAAAACTCTCTGAAATAGACATGCGTCATCATGCTCTATGTGATGAATTCACACTCCAATGAACCCCCTACCTTTTATAAAAATAAAAACTCCATATTATGTAGTACAATGTTAAGTGTGCAATCTGACACAATGACACAAATCATAAAAATAAAGCTTCTTTATTTTGATCTGTTGTCAAGATGAGATCTAAAACAGATCCAAAACGGCAGGGATTAAGCCAAAGGAAGGTTGTATAACTCTTATTTTTATCCACGATCTTAGTTTCTCTCAGATTTCACTCACCAGAGCATCTGACGTACCTCACTCAGGACATTCCCCTACTGTAATACACCTAAAACACAGATTACCGTAAAACTCGGCAATGGCAGGGAAGCGTTTTCTCTTGTTAACTGCAGGAAAAGAGTTAAACAAAACCCTCGCGCCATTTTTGCGTAAACCCACAAGAGGCCTATGTCAAACGACCGTTCGTCCGACTAGCTGAATGATTGACTGGGCGACTGGCCAATCGTCCGACCAACCCTTCTCCTCCTTCTCTAAACACAAGCAGTTTTACCGATTGACCCGCCCCCCGCTTACTTCCCTAAACCCAACCAACAATTAAAAAAAAAGCCGTCCAGAAAAAGAAATGCCCTCGTTTGATTTTTACCACGTTTTCAGATTTGACCACATTATTAGCCTGTTATTTACTTGTTCACTTTATTTTTTGGATTCTGTTTTTGTCTTACCTGATTTCTGGAACCGCTCTTTCCCGAACTCTAACCCGGTCGTCGTCATCGTGGTCAGCTCCTCTCTGCGTCTCAAGTACGTCGACGTACACGACGAGCTAACCGGACAAACTGGTTGCGGCGGAAAAGCCCTCCACATGGAGGTAAGCTAGCCAGCAAGCGCAAAAGAGAACGGCATCACACCGCCCTGTAGCGTTCGCTTAAAAAAATTAAATACGTACCTCCGGTTACATAATTTGCGGCCTCCAGAAACGTCCGCTGGACTACGTTTTCAAAATGAGCCTGGGTTGCATTAGCCATACATGTAAAGCACAAATAATGCCCTTCAATAACAAATTCCAAATGCAAATAGCACACTTGAAATGAACTCAGGACCTTTTATCTGCTCATTGTAATTGGGATAATGAGGGAATAGCACACACCTGGCCATGGAACAGCTGAGAAGCCAATTGCCCAATTACTTTTAGGCCCTTAACAAGTGGGAGGCACATATGCAAACTGTTGTAAAGCTGCAGTCTCATTGCACTTTTCTCCCCATAGACTTCCATTAAAATGTCTAATCATCTTGTTTATTCCCGGACAGATGCAATATAATGCTAAACATCAGAATTTTTTCTCAGTTACCTCAAGATGTAACAAATTGTTTTTGAGGGTATGACAGGTGACATAATTTGGTATGTGTTTATCCATTTGTGAGGGAAAATTGAAGAGTACTCTGTTTGGGTTATTGTGTTGTCTGAGATGAAGCTCTCTAAATTCTTTTAAGTCTTCTTCTGTTTAAATGGTTCATCTTGTAATAAATGTTTAAATTGGCAAATGATAAAATATTGATTTTAAACCTTCCAGAAAATACAGCTGGGCCAGTGACAAATCCATTAAAACTGACCCCAGGGGTCCGTTCTTCGTACGTGGATTACTCAGTTAGCTGGATTTGGATATTGACGATTTGACACGATCCAGGATTGTTTCGTTCTTCAAAGCTGATCCGAGAGTTGTTGTCATGGCAACAGATCTGCTAGGTCAAACCTGATCGGGAGCAGGTTCAAATCATATAAACAGGATTAGATCGGCTCAGTTCAAGCAAAGATAATACAGAAAGTATGTACCGAGTTCTGATATTTTCTTACAGTAGTAGTTATATACACTTGGGAAAATAGTAAATATTTTTTAACTATATATATAAAAGTTATAGTAATAAATAAAATAAATAAAGTTATACATATTAATAAAACGTATGCAATCTGCCAATCGTTGCATTGCTGATCATGATTTCGAGGATCGATAGATCTGTCCTTAACAACAAACGCAGCGATCTCAGATCAGTTCATCCAGACATTCTAATCTGATTCGCGAACTTGTTTGAAGAACCAAATTAGCGAGAGATCAGTTATCAAGATTAAAAGATCCAGGATCTGACAAATCATCTTAGATCATTTAAGCGAGGTACGAAGAACGGACCCCAGGCCATTGGGCAGTCCTTGTTATGATGGTATCGAAATGGGAATCAGAAATGGGAAACAACTAAAACTGAAGACTCTGTCAGAACTATTTTAAAGGTGCAATATGTAAGTTTGACACCCAGTGGTTGAACTAGGTACTACATTCCTGGATCAAAACAAGCGCAGGTTGCCAGATTGAGGACCAACTAGGCTGATTTAAATCATGTTCTAAATAAAAGGAGCGGCATGCAACAGATGGAATATTCTCAATATGAAAAGGAGTTTTTGTTCTAACTAACACCTGAAATTGATATGTTAGAAACAGCTTCTATTTCTTGCAGCTGAACAACAGAAAACTGACAATTATTACCCCAGGTACAACTCATGTGCTTTATTCAGTGTTAAATGTGAGTTTGAATGCCATTTTACACGACATTTATTGCCATACTACTGAATGCAGCAGCAGATAGTTTAACAGACACGGATTTGCCTCATGGATGGGGCTTCTGTCTGCCCGGTGATTGTAGCTTCGTTGCCAAATGGCTAACATGGATTTTATTGAGAAAATAACTGTTTATGTGCTTATTGAAGACTGAAAAACAGCGTCAATTCATTCGGAGCCATGTCTGAGTCCACTAGATCTATTCAGAGCTACATCCAGCTCTTTGAGTTCATAAACTCCTCCAGAAACGTAACCTGTATGATGGAGGCTTTCAGCTGTGCTTCCGACTCATCCGAGCCCAGTTTGATCAGACTGTTTCCAGTGTCTGCGGGAGGATGTCCCCCTGGGACACCAACAACAGGGGTCATAAGCACGCCCCTACAAGAGCAAGCTTCTTCCGCATCTGGTGTGAACGCAGAAATTAGACTCTAAACCAACACAAATCAGTGATTCATCATCTACATTTAATAATGTTAAAGAGGTTTAATATGTGTTAATTAGATTATAATCCTTATATAATACCCTTTTAATCCATGAGTGAGTGCATATTCTGTGCTGAATAGCTCACCTAATGTTTACGTTTGTAATATTTATATTATTTGCTAATTAATAACCTCATGTGGAACACTGAATTTGCTTCTTATTTCGGAGTCTGCTACTGTCCACAACAGATCGCATTTCGGTCATGGACACATGCTTGTAGAGCCTTTCTGAATGAATGAATGAACGATTTTTCCCTATTTTTTATTACCTGGGGTGCTGAAATATAATTGGCTAAGCTGACATTGGGCGGGTTAAAAAAACCAAAACAAAGACAGACATTCTGGCACGTAACTCACATTTTCAAAGCAGAATATTTGACTTCAGCATTGTTTTTCAGGTAAACAAGAATGTTCACTTGCCGTGTTTTTTAAATATCTGCAAACATATTATGGTATTTTTATGTTTTAGAAGAGTCAAAAACTTACATACAACACCTATAAATAGTTGAAAACAATTTTGAGACATTAATATGCTGAAAATGTAATGTGAGATTATGAACATCTTGAATATCTGAATCCAGTGTACACAACTGATCTTAACACTTTACGCTACACAAAGTTAAAAATGCGTCCATTTCATGTACAGGATGAGTCACTGTTGTTTCCACTTTCTGATTTAGCAGCTTCTATTATTGCTGTTAACTGTTGCAAAATATAAATCAGCATTGCTGCCATAGTAACTGCATCTCTATGCTGCAGGTGTTGTCGCTAGGCGCCGATGTGCTTCCCGAGTATAAACTTCAGACGCCCCGCATCAACAAGCTGACCATCTTGCACTACAGCCCCTTTAAGGCGGTCTGGGATTGGCTGATCCTGCTGCTGGTCATCTACACTGCCATTTTCACTCCCTACAGCGCGGCCTTCCTGCTCAATGACCCGGAGGAGGAGAAGAGGCGTGAGTGCGGTTATTCCTGCAGTCCCCTCAATGTGGTGGACCTCATAGTGGACATTATGTTTATCGTAGACATTCTTATCAATTTCCGGACTACGTACATCAACGCCAACGAGGAGGTGGTCAGTCATCCGGCTAAGATAGCAGTGCATTACTTTAAAGGGTGGTTCTTCATAGACATGGTTGCTGCCATACCCTTTGACCTGCTCATATTTGAGGGCGGATCAGATGAGGTGAGCAGTGCATTAGTGTATGTGTGGTTTGGTGTCTTTGTACCATTCTGTAATTTAGAGTGAACTTTCGTGCTCTTCATGTTATGCACACGCTAAATCAAAAGCCAATTCTTTTCGATAGAGTTATTGAGTCTCTTGATGGCAAATTGTTTAGGGAATTTAACATTGAGTTGATGTTTTTAAAGAAACTAGCTAGTGGCAAGAGAAAACAAGATGCAATGTGGGTTTCCTCTGGGTGCTCCGGTTCCCCCCAAAGTCCAAAAACATGTAGCATAGGTGAATTGAATAAACTAACTTGACCTTATTGTATGAGTGTGTGTGTGTGTGTGTGAATAAGTGTTGATGGGTGTTTGTTTACCAGTACTAGGTTGCGGCTGGAAGGGCATCCACTGCATAAAACATGTGCCGGAATAGTTGGTGGTTAATTCTGCCATTGTGACCTCTGAAATAGAGACTAAGCCTAAGGAAACTAAATGAATGAATGAAAAAAATCTAACAATTCTTAACAGAACCAGAAGTAGGAAATAATAAAACGTTTTAATTAAATCAAAGAAATTAAGATAAAGAAAAGCGCACAACATAACTCACTTCTAACTCCTAAATAAATAATAAAAAAAACATTTATAGGAATAAAGTCCTCAACAAAACGTGGCCTAAAATACTGTTACTAAGAATGATAAAACTTACACAAGCTCTCTTTGAACACAATTTTGCTCAGTGTGGCTTTCTACTCGAAGTAGAGAGGATCACATGCTATGATTGATCGTGGCCGGTCAGCATACATCGATAAAACAATCAGATGAGTCCAAGCCTAAAATAACTAGCCCATTTTTTCTTATTTCCCTTATCTTCATTTTTGAATAATTCCCGTCCACCCCATCTTCCCCTTTCCGTCTTCAAAAGGGGGAGCTCTCTAGTCCTACCTTAACTTGGACTCCCTTATATGCTAAGTGACCAGGTAGAAGCCCTGAGCTCAATTATCTCAAAGCTCAGCGTTCTCTTCCGGGACAGCATGCCAAACCTGCAATTAGTATAATAGCTAAGTGTAAACTCTTGAATTGGAGGAAAAGAATTAGTAAAGTAGTGTTACAAATTTGGATGATGAACAATTAGTTATAAAAATAATTTAAAAACCATGTGACCGATGGGATCCACACAAAGCAAATGCATTCACTTAGGATGGTTCACCCTAAAAAATGAAAATTCTGTCATTATTTACTCACTCGTAAACCATTATGAGTTTCTTCTGTTGAGCACAAAGAAAGATATTTTGAAGAATGGCGATTGCTGGTACCCATAGACTTCAATATTAATTTCTTTCCTACTATGAAAGTTGATGCAACCAGCATTTTTCAAAATCTCTTCTTTTGTGTTCAACAGAAAAAAATTGGTTTAAAACCACACAAGAGAAAATAAGTTGAGGTTATTTACATTTTGGGTTATCTATCCATTTACCAACCTTGTAATTGTAACCTCTCATTAAGACTGCCTTTTTCCTATTTCACAATAGATAAAATGAAAAAAAAATAGACTTAGGCGTAATCTCAATTCTACCCCTTAGCCCTTCTCATACACCTACCCCTAATTTTGCGTGTTTATGTAAAGGGGTAGGAGTGTCCCAATTCTCTGTATGTTAAAGCTGTAGGGCTAAGGGGAAGGGCTAGATAGCCCTTGGAATAGAGATTTTCCAGGACCACATTAGAAACCAAGGGGTAAGAAATTTTCCCAGAATACATCAGCTACAATGGCAACATGTCTGCACACAGAAGTCAGGAGATGCACAAATTAGTATTTTTTGGCATTATTAAGAATTTTTGCAACAAACAAGCAAATGTTTTAATACTATCATAACATAATAATAATAATATCATTTTATCGTCATGCTTTAAAAAAAAAGGACAAAAGAATTTGGTAATTGGGAAATTTTGCTATCTATAATCCATAATTATAACTCCTGTATAAGTAATCCCACAACATACTCTTATATCTGACACTCGATGACACTCGAATACTCTGTCAGAAAAGTCTAGTGACTGTGAATAAACTTTTTACAGTGTCTGCTATAATTTTAATGTTGTTTTTGTGTGTTTACATAGATGAATATGGCCACTGTGTAAATGCACAGTACAGTTACGCTCTTATTGCCACATTATATCGTTATGATAACGTTGCCTTCGGTAATTTTCTGAAAATAAATACCAAAAAATAACACAACTGGAATCACTACAGCAGTCGCGGATTGTCTGATGTCATATGAAGCAAGAGATGGCGATGACATATGATGATGTGTGCGGGTGTTGTAGTGGTGTCCTATTTTAATTCCCTTCATCTTCACACTCTGTTTCAAGGGCCATGGGGAAGGGGTAGGTGTAAAAAAATAGAATTAGTGTTGGTGCCTTAATTCTAAACTCTATAGAATTACTCTTGCACTCTATAGTAAATGTCAAAGCACACGGTAAATACTGAAAATATGCATTTTTATTTATTCATTTGTACATATGCTTTTATGTTTTTTTTCACAAGTGACTTTAAATGAGGATAATAGAGTGGAGGAACTATGACATCACCTTGTAGGCTAATCGGCTGCTAGCATAAAACTGGTTCCCTCGATACAATCCCTATAGGATTTTCCCATAGGCTTTTTGAAGATTGCAAATAGCAAGCCCTTTGTTCAAACGATCTTCTTTACACTTACACGTTTTGTCCAACCCGATAATCCTCACACGAAAATACAACTTTGAGCACTTTTTGATCTTAATTGCAATCTTTAAACCCCAGAGCTGAAAAGCTAACTATAATCAGACTTTAGTGCCTTCTGGGCACTCTGTGACGTCAGTACCACCCTGCTACAGACAATATTTTAAGCTTATTTTTAGAAATATGCTCCATGACAAAGATTTACTCTCTCGGTTTATTATATTATAATAAACTCTATGTATTATCAACAAATAAATACGCAAAAACTCAACTGTATAGACCTACGTGCCTTTTGGATGTTTTTTTTTTACGTGGAAAATACGTTTTTGTTTTGCTCTACATGTTGTTGTAAAAGTTTTAAAATATGTAAGTTTTAATGTATGTTTAAATGTGCCTACAAAGTATCATCACAAGACATATTTAAGTAAGTGTATTGCTCGCGTGCTTACAACCCGCTTACTTTAGTAACAGACGACAGAAATGAGGGACTAGTCTATTTGCCTGCAAGTTCCATCATAGATGGAGAATAATATTCAATATTCATTTTTTGTCACAAAGAATCTTATCAAAATCAATTAATGACGTTATAATGACAGGAAATATGTATACATTTCTTACACATTTATTTTTATTTGTTTGCATTACTGAGAGTAGGAAAGAGATAGGCTGTAAGCAGGATCCCCATAATATCGTTTAATTAAAATAAAGGATCAACAAATTAATCTGTCTTGAAAGTCTTTACAAGTGAAAGCAATATCTACACACAATATGAATTTCCACATAGAAAAATACTACAAACTATAAAATGCTATTCATTAAAATACAGACAAATCCAAATGCCCAACTCAAGTGAGTTGTGCTCCAGACTAGTTTAGCACGATGATGTATAATGTCTCAGACACCGCCTGTAGTCCTATTTAGCAACTTGATAGCAACCGTCTTTTTAAAGAAGCATAACAGATTTAAAAAAAAATCAAGAATGTGATGTAACTGATGCTGTATGTCGTGTTATATGTCATAGAATAAAATATGAAAGTGTCTTGAGTTTTTGTTAGCCAGGGACCTTATTTAAGCGATTTAACTGAAATCCCATTGAAAAAAACATTGACTTTGGGACGAAGGAACCGGAACTGCTAAAATGCCAACTCGCTTCCGGGTTTTTGCATACAAATTGACATCATAGTTCCTCCACTCTATAGAAGCACCTCAAATCACAAGAAAAGCAACTGTATGTAGATGCAGTGATGAGACTCAGTTAGTTTAGCATTGTGCATGGTTGCGTCCGAAACCGTCTACTACTCAGTAGGTACTGCATTTGAATTTATGCATACAACTCGACCGGGAGAAAAGTATGTTCTATACCAGGGGTCACCAACCCTGTTCCTGGAGAGCTACTTTCCTGCACATTTCAGTTGCAACCCTGACCAAACACACCTGTTTGTAATTATCAAGTACAGCTTTATGTACTATTAATTGGTTCAGGTGTGTTTGATCAGGGTTGGGACTGAATTCTGCAGGAAGGTAGCTCTCCAGGAACAGGGTTGGTGACCCCTGTTCTATACTGTATGAATAGAGGCAGTATCAATGGAATTTGGCCGTACTACATCCGCCATTTTAACATGATCATGTGACCTAACCACGTCAGTTGCGGTGCTTCACTCCCATTCATAAATTTTCTCACAGGGCATCATGGGATAGCACAGCATGCATGGGATGCACACTTCAAAATCTCACCGGAAGTAGTAGGTCATTAGGATACTTCTCGCATACTGATTTTCGAATTCTATTAATTCGTACATACCACTCGGCTTGCATACTGATTTTAGCGTACGATACAGTATGGAAGTATGCGGTTTCAGACGCAGCCCATTTTTTTAAACAAACCAACTGGACAGATGAAGAACAAACTGGTGGATAAAGAATGAGTAAGTGAGTGAGTGGTAATGTCAGAGGACTGAGAGTGTTGATGAAACAGGTAGGTGTTCAGTCGTTTAATAAAAATTTGATTTGAATTCTTAAAAAGCTTCTTAAAAATTGGAAAAAAAAATGAAACTCAGCAATGTCTGAATAAAGATTCTTACTGTAAATCAATGCATAGCGGACTCTAGATTTATTGTAATTAATTAGTTGTGATTTTATCTGAATGCATTGCTTTATTTATGCTTGCATGATTATGTGTGTTCTTCTCACCCTCTCTTTAGACCACTACTCTGATTGGCCTGTTGAAGACTGCTCGACTGCTCCGATTGGTCCGTGTGGCTCGCAAGCTGGATCGATACTCCGAGTATGGGGCGGCTGTTCTAATGCTCCTCATGTGTATCTTTGCACTGATTGCCCATTGGTTGGCTTGCATATGGTATGCGATCGGCAATGTGGAGAGGCTCTATCTGGACCACACCATTGGCTGGTTGGATAATTTGGGCATATCCATCGGCAAGCAGTACAACATAAGTGATGATGCCTCAGGCCCCTCTATCAGGGACAAGTACGTGACAGCGCTGTATTTCACATTCAGCAGTCTGACCAGTGTGGGCTTCGGAAATGTATCACCAAATACAAACTCAGAGAAGATCTTCTCCATCTGTGTCATGCTCATTGGCTGTGAGTATTATTGAGATCACTGTTCATGGACGATCCCCCGCTCTGCATATTTTCCATCCTCCTTAACCAAACACACCTGATTCAAATCATTGGCTAATTAGCAGAGACTAAAAGACTGTAATGGGTGTGACAGATTATTGAGACATCCAAAACATGCAGTGCTGGTGGTCCTCCAGGAACATGGTTGAGAAACACTGCACTATACTATCTTCACACACGTGTATAGCTATGTTAGTGAGGGCTTTCCGTACACATGGTTTTTATATTGTAAAATTGTATATTCTGTCTTCTCAACCTAATCCTACCCTTAAACAAACCTCACAGAAAACATTCTGAATGTTTTTTCTAAATACTTCATCCTGTAGGATTTAGAAGCTGTTTCGCTCATAGGGAATTAAAAAGTGAAAAAATGCCTGCTATTACTATACTTGTGTATACAGTTAGTCCCCATAATGTAGGAAATACCAGGTACACAAACGTGAGGGTGAATTTAGCACTGAAGATTGGAGGCAGGATTGGATTTGAACCGCACATATGCTTTGCACACACCTGGCAACCCGGGCTGCCTCGGTGTTGCTCGTCACTTGTTTGCTTGGGCAGGTGTGACATAACCCACTTTTTTTTCACCGGAGTTCAGTTTGCCGCATACAAAAGCAAAGGCTGCAACAACTGCCACCACACAAATTAAACAAGCTATAGAATAACACTTTAGATATGCTTAACGTCATAATCATCGTATACACAAATCAAATTAAGATGTGAAATATTGCTGTTTTAGTTGCATTATTGAAGTGCAGCACAGACAAGTAAACTCCGTAATTAAACTAATACCATCATGTAGGACTTTTAGCCACATTTTGCAACAGGATAAACCAAGCTGCTTGATGTTATTCTCTGCACCTACCAAGTCAGTAAAGGACCACAGATACACACATTTCCTGAGTGAGCGCACACACACACCTGTCATCATTTATGCTATCCGGACAAAAACAGAAGTTTTCTTTTTATTCGGCGTGCGGTATCAAACTCCGTAACTCAATAGAGTTTATAGCAACATATTTTACTGTGTTTGCATGTTCTTTATGGCATAATTCATTAAAGTACAAGTAAAATAACATTCATTGCAATTTAATTAAAAAAAACACCTAAATACTTTTGCATTATGTGATTTTGACTCATCTCGTCTTGTTCTCGTGAAACGTCTTTTGTCTCGTTTCATGTAGTAAGCATTTTGTCACACCCCTATATATATTGGTTAATCTTGAAATAGTTGTGTACTCATAAACCAAGATTTAGCCAAAATTGGACGCTAAACACACATAGACACACACATACAGTTGAAGTCAGAATTATTAGCCCCCCTTTGAATTTGCTTTTATTTTTTTAATCATTTCCCAAATGATGTTTAAAAGAGCAAGGAATTTTTCACAGTATGTATATAATATTTTTTCTTCTGGAGAAAGTCTTATCTGTTTTATTTCGGGTAGAATAAAAGCAGTTATTAATTTTTTAAACACGATTTTACGGATAAAATTATTAGCCCCTTTAAGCAAATTTTGTTTCTGTCTACAGAACAAACCATCATCATACAATAACTTGCCTAATTACCCTAACCTGCCAAGTTAACCTAATTTACCAAGTTAAGCCTTTAAATGTCCCTTCAAGCTGTATAGAAGTGTCTTGAAAAATATAAAGTCAAATATTATTTACTGTCATCATGGCAAACATAAAATAAATCAGTTATTAGAGATGAGTTATTAAAACTATTATGCTTAGAAATGAGTTAAAAAATCTACTCTCTGTTAAACAGAAATTGGGGAATGAATAATCAGGGAGTCTAATATTTCAGGGGGGCTAATAATTCTGACTTTAACTGTATATGTAATCATATTACTTTTACTTTTATACTAATTTATTAGGGATGTGATAAGATCTCGTATGAGAGTGAGTCACGAGGCATGAATGAAATCTTGCTAAATTAAATTATTTATTAAATTAAATACCAAAAATTACATTTTTTTTAAGTTCAGTGTGTGGAAAAAGTTTGATTTATCATGTGAAATTGTACAGGGGAAAAGCCAGTCAGTAGACGTTATAGCTAAATATTTAGCAGTGTTTGCATGTCCTTTAAATTAATTTAAATAGAAATAAAATACCATTTATTACCATTTTAAAAAGCACCTAAATTGTTTTGTATTTTGTGTAAATTTTTTTCTTTTCTATTCATATGTTAGCAAATATTTTGCTAATATTTAAAATTATATATATAAAGATTATTTTCTATTCACATAGGCTATTAGCAAAATATTTTGCAGTGTTTGCATGTTCCTTAATGCGTATAAAGCATTAAAATAGAAGTAAAATAACATTTATTACAAACTGATTTTAAAAAAGCACCTAAATACTTTTGCGATTTGTGTTTTTTTCAGTTGAATAAAAGACTTTTTTCCATTCATATATTTCGCCATTGAAGATTTCTTAAAAAGAATTTCCCCTCGTCTCGTTCTCGTGAACCCAATGTCATATCTCGTCTCGTATCTTGTCACATGCCTAAAATTTATTAATACTTTTTTTCATTTTTTATTAAAGAAATAATAATCGAATAGAAAGTGAATATAAAAACATTGAGTAATCCTCCATTCTTTTTAGAATTAAGAAAAAAAAAGTTTAACACCAAATCAGCATGTTTGAATGGATACTGAAAGATCATGTGATTAGTAATAATACTGAAATTTACATTTTAAATTGTTAAAATAGACATTTATTAAAAATTGTGACAAAGTTTTACAGTATCTTGTAGATCTTTCAAGCAAAAAAAAATGTTAACACTTGTTGTCTTTGTATTTTAGCTCTGATGTATGCTAGTATCTTCGGGAATGTGTCCGCTATCATTCAGCGATTGTACTCTGGAACAGCTCGGTACCATCTGCAGATGCTTCGGGTCAAAGAATTCATTCGCTTCCATCAGATCCCCAACCCGCTGAGACAAAGACTCGAGGAGTACTTCCAGCACGCTTGGACATACACCAACGGCATCGACATGAACATGGTACGAGTCTGGCTCTTTTCCTTGACTTTGAAGTTCTGTCATTGAATGAAGACATGTAATGAACTGTTGGCATGTACTATTTGTGTGTGTCAGTGTAATAGCAATGTATCCTAATCACACATTATTAATGTGAAATGTGTTCATGTGTCTACGCAGTGATCTGATATGCATTGTCTCTTTCTTATACGCACTCAAATGGACTGTCTTCAACACCCTGGTGAGCAGGAGGTATAGATTAATGTTTGCTTTTCATCAAAAAGCTACAGTATTTCTTTCTGAAATGTTTCCTATGATGTCTGTATATTTTTAAACTGTGCCTTTTTGAGGTAAGCATAGTCTAAAAATATAATAGCTAATCAAAGGAATTTAATCAGTTTTGAAAAGTTTTTTCAAGACTTAAGGCCAATTTATACTTCTGCTTTGAGTCCATGTGGTAGGCCATACCCTGACCTCTCAAAAATGTAATTATACAGTACATTCTAACAATGCAGAGAGAAAGATCTGTTATTGGCCGGCTTGGTTGCGATTACTAGTGTGGGCGGGGCTAAGAGTCAAGGGGGCGGAGCAAGGCTGATGGCACAAGTGCCTTAACACCGAAGTTGGCGAGAGCATCCAAGTTCTCTCTGGCCACCCTGGCGACAACGGTGTCTGCCTTCACAGCTTCTGCGGCAAGAACGTTAAAATTCGCTACATTGTATTTAAAGGAGCCGTTGCAGTATATCGGCAAATCAGTTACATTCCCACATAAAAACCTGCTTTCTCTTTAACAATGAAAGATCAAGTCGTTGCTAGTGGTGTGGCTTTAGTTCATATGTATGAAATATTCTGAAGTTGTTATAGTTAGCATGAGATTCCCGCTTCTTTTTTTAAAGAAATGTATACGCTCACCGGCCTCTTTATTAGGTACACTTGTCCAACTGCTTGTTAAAGTAAATTTATAATCAGCCAATCACATGGCCGCAAATCAATGCATTCAGGCATGTAGACATGGTCAAGACGATCTGTTGCAGTTCAAACCGAGCATTAGAATGGGAAAGAAAGTGATTTAAGTGACTTTGAACGTGGCATGGTTGTTGGTGCCCATCGGGCTGGTCTGAGTATTTCAGAAACTGCTGATCTACTGGGATTTTCTTGCACAGCCATCCAAGGGTTTAAAGAGAATGGTCAGAAAAAGAGAAAATACCCAGCGACCGTTCTGTAAGAGCAAATGCCTTGTTGATGTCAAAGGTTAGAGGAGAATGGCCAGACTGGTTCGAGCTGATAGAAAGAAAATTTAACAATAGAAGATTGGAAAAACGTTGCCTGGTCTGATGAGTCTCCATTTCTGCTGCAACATTTGGATGGTAGGGTCAGAATTTAGTGTCAACAACATGAAAGCATGGATCCATCCTGCCTTTTATTAACGGTTCAGGCTGCTGGTGGTGTAATGTTGTGGAGGATATTTTCTTGGCATACTTTGGGCCCATCAGTACCAACTGAGCATTGCGTCAACGCCACAGCCTACCTAAGTATTGTTGCTGACCATGTCCATCCCTTTATGACCACAGTGTACCCATCTTCTGATGGTTACTTCCAGCAGTAAAACACGGCATGCCATAAAGGGTGAATTATCTTAAACTGGTTTCTTGAACATGACAATGAGTTCACTGTACTCGAATGGCTTTCACAGTCACCAGATCCCAATCCAACAGAGCACCTTTGGGATGTCATGGAATGGAGATTCCCATCATGGATGTGCAGCCAACAAATCTGCAACAACTGCATGATGCTATCATGTCAATATGGACCAAAATGTTAAGTTTATGCCACAATGAAATAAGGCAGTTCTGAAGGCAAATGGGGGTCCAACCCGGTACTAGTAAGGTGTACCTAATAAAGCTAATAAAGTGGCCAGTAGTGTGTGTGTGTGTGTGTGTGTGTGTGTGTGTGAGAGAGTATATGTATATATATATATATGTATATATAAACATTAATGCACATCAGTAAAAACATTTTTTATGTATGTCCCTGTGAGAAAACATTGAATATAACTGGAAATACGGTGATCGCAATAATCCAACCCTTAGGAGCAACTGTGGTCGAAAGAGAAGATCAGAAGGCTGTATTCTCTGTAATAGTCTTAGGCGGTGGACTTCAACATTCCGATTGCTTGCTTGACTGGATTTCAACTCTCCTTGACGCCAACACCGGCAAAGATGCTTCACGCCACCAGCGTCCATAGAAAATGGATGACTTCTAGCTACTTTTACATTCTCACCGTTTTCGGTGCATTTTCACTGCCGCAGAGGAGCTCCAAATGTCAATCCTCCTGTTTTTGCCAGGATTTTCCCGTATTTGACCATTCTATCTCACTTTCATCCCATTTAAGTATTTTCCCCTATTTCTCCCATATTTGTAATCTTCCTATGAAAAGTGAAAGTAGCATCAAAGGATCGATCTCAAATGTGATATAATTGCAAGAGCTGTTGATGAGAATACTGATTTTGCTTCATTTTGGCTTGAAAGCACGTTGAAATGAATTTAGAAATAGCTGCATTCATTTAATTTCCTTTAAAGCTTGATCCTTCACCTTTCCTGTGTAACCTTTGAATCAGTCAATTCATGTGACGGTACTGACTGACAGGCACGCTTCATATAAAAACACAGTTCCCAGATCAGCTTCTGTACACACGATAATAAGAGGAGCGAAAGTGGACACTGGGATTTGGGTGTGTTTTAAACAGACAGATACACTAATTAATATATAAACATGCCCGTTCTGGTGTGTTTTATTTTCAAACACTAACAATTTTGTCTTTGGGAAAGTAATTGAATGCTTTCATTATAGTTCTGTGCATTCTTAAAGGGACACCTCTGTTATCAAACAAAACAGTGTATCAATTTGAGAGATTGGCTGCTCTTTACTATAGTAAATATAACTATGCCATATTTTTACATCCCAGTGTTGACAGGTATGCAGATAGATACTTTTATTTTGCGTTCCCGTCTTTCTTCCCTGAATGGATTTCTTTCTTCCTGAGTATGAGTTTGAGCTACTGCTACAGTAACAGTGCATGTATTTTTGATGTAAACTCAAAACACCAGCAAACAACTCAACAAATAATAACCCCAATGCCTACTAGCAGTTCAGAATTGTTATTGCAGGGCAACACAAAACACAGAGAACGCAGAAGTCTACATGCCCACAAAGGCATTGGCCCTGAGGTATGGGTACCACTTGATGCAGAAGTATAAATCAGGCTTATTGTTAAGTCAAACCACTAATGGTTAAGAGTACTATCACTCAATACATTTGGTACAAAATACTATTTCAGTTTTTTCCTATAGTTAAATCAGTTTCACTTTGATGACCCTGGCATTATTGGCATTATCTACTTATAAGGCATCAGATTCTGTGTAGTTAGTCAGATAGATTCATATGTTTCCATGCCAGACTTTGCTTGCTGATGTTCCAAATCCAATTTAAACGAGAAATATAGTGGTTTTTAGGCAATTTACTTTGAGTCGAACCACAAAAATTGGGAGAAAGCATAATTGGCAGCTGCATTTTCCTCTGCTTAATGTGCCGTATATCATTTAATATGAAGCCAAAACAAATCAAAGCCAAAAACAATGCAAAGCAGTCGAAACAAAGGGTCCCGGATGCATTTGTGTTTTGCTTCATCTTTTATGTATTTGCAGTTGAGGGAGACGGGGCTATATTAGCATTGTATAATCTGGGCTGGTAAAAATCTGCAACCGTTCTGCCCTTCATCTCCTCTTGTCTATTGGGAACACTCTTTCTGTTCTGTCCTTTTCTGTCTCTTCCTCTCTCTGCAGGTATTGAAGGGTTTTCCAGAGTGCCTGCAGGCTGATATCTGTCTCCACCTGAATAAAACGTTGCTCCAGAGCTGCAAGGCCTTTCGTGGAGCGACCAAAGGTTGCCTTCGGGCACTGGCGATGCGCTTTAAGACCACCCATGCCCCACCGGGTGACACTCTGGTGCATGGTGGGGATGTTCTCACTGCCCTCTACTTTCTCGCCAGAGGGTCTATCGAGATCCTCAGAGATGACATTGTGGTGGCCATCTTGGGTGAGCATTAAACAATTAATAAAAACTTTTTTTTTTTTAAAGGCCCATGCATACCAAGACGATTTCTGCTCACGCTTTTTGCTGATGTTTAATGCCTTGTGACTAAGCAAAGCCAACCAATCTGAGCACACACACCCAACGCACAAAATGGCTGTCATTAAAGCTTTATTAAAAAAAAAAAACTTTTAGCAATAATAAATGCTTAGCCAATGCAAATAGAACTTTTGTTCATCCGTCTGGAACTTGAAGCTTCTGAAATTACATTAAACATGACTTGGTTGCACTCAAGACAAGGTGAAGAAAGTTTATTTATACAGTACATTTCAAACACAAAGGTAATTCAAAGATTAAAGCTGCAAGCAGCGATAAAAGGGACCTCGCAACTGGGCTCACCGCCTCATGGTGGCCTTAGGATGTGGATTAGGAAGCAGATCAGACAGCGCATGCCTGAGTTATAACAACTTCCTGTTTCTGGCGAAACATCGACGTTTCCACAGAAGGAAAACTCGAAAACTCTTGATCTTCCCAATTTAACATTGCCAAGGTCTTTAGATGACAATACCTAATTATGGTGTTGATCTGATAAAAATCGTTAAAGTACAACGCCTGGAAATGGCAAAAACTGCACTTTTTCAGCAGAGGAAGTTAAATATCCGACTTCCTGTTGGTTTTGAAATTTTGCTCCAAGAGACTCTTTTGTACAGTAGGTCAAAAGAGTATTGGCATATTTGATGTGTGTGCCAAATTTGGTAAACATACCTCGGTCGCTACTTCATGTGTGTAACATTTTGTGAGTTTTTGAGCATGTTTAGACCCTCAAAAATGCAATTCATTCTATAGAAGGAAAAAAAGAAGAAAACGGAGCAATTCAAATAGGGCCTACGTAGGTACATTGCACTGTAGGTGCTCTGTCCCTAAATATATAAAATATATATAAAATAATCAAACATAAGTAAAAGAAATAAAGACAACAAAGAATTAAAATCATATCAAAATGTGTTAAACGAAATCATTTAAAAAGTCAAATAGTGCAATCAAGTGCTGTCGCCTCACAGCAAGAAGGTCGCTGGTTCGAGCACCAGCTGGGTCAGTTGGCATTTCTGTGTGGAGTTTGCATGTTCTCCCCGTATTTGCGTGGGTTTCCTCCAAGTGCTCCGGTTTCCCCCACAAGTCCAAAGACATGCGGTATAGATGAATTGGGTAAGCCAAATTGGTCATAATGTATGTATGTGTGGGAATGAATGTGTATGGGTTTCCCAGTGATGGGTTGTGGCTGGAAGGGCATTCACTGCGTAAAACATATGCTGGATAAGTTGGCGGTTCATTCCGCTGTGGCGACCCCAGATTGATAGAGGGACTAAGCCGAAAGAAAAATGAATTAATTAATGAAAGTGCAATCAGTTGATCAAAGCACAAAACGTTCTAGGTGAGCACACATTTCTGACAACGAAGTATTTACACTGAGGCGAGCTACCTGTTTCATTGAGGTGAAGTGACTAAACACGAAGAGCTGTATGATAATCATGACAGCAACTACAAATATTTCAACAAGACTGAGTTGTTATGGAGAGGAATTGCAGATCAAATAGCATCAGATTGTGAGTTTTTCAGTATTTCACTTCATTTTCATAAGATCGTCTTAAAAAAAGCTGAAGATAAGCATCCCGGTGGGCACAAGCCTTAAACATGTTAATAAATCGAACTAAACTTATTATGAAGTCACACTGTGATTATTGTCATGGTTTCAGAAGGCTAAAAGGAGCAAGGACTCAAATGCAGGGACAAAAACGGGTTCATTATAAAATAAAACAAAAAGACAGCAAAAACTACCGTGAGGGGGAAAACATTAACAAAACAAATAAGCAGACAAAATTGACTGGGCTGGCAGGAAAGAGTAGGGTTGGACAGGGCTGGACAAGATAGAAAAGGTAAACAAAAAAAAGACATACTGGAGAATGTAAAGGAGAAATAATTGACAAGCAAACAGGTGAAATGAATAAACTAATAATGGGTTAATAAGGAGGGTGGGACTAGACAGTAGACAGGAGAGCACATAAAACAAACAAAAACACAAGCCATGTGCTCACTTAAAAAACAGGACTAGAACTCGCAGCCAACAAGAAAACTCACATGAAGCACAACACTGAAGCATGCGGCCACAATGTAAACACGGATGTACACACAATGTAAAAATGAAGCTTATACAAAAGACCAAGACAAACAAGAACAGAATAAGAGTGCTCAAGAAAACTCGAGCTAAGTACAACATACAAGACAAGACAGGACCAGTGCCCACCAAATTATAAATTAACTAGACCAAAGTGGCAGAATCCTGCATCAACAATCATCGATAAACCAATCAGATGACTCCAAGCCTACAATAAATAGCCCATTTTGTCTTACCTCCCTTATCTTCGTTTTTGAATAATCCCCCCCATCCACCCCATCTCCACCATTCCTCCTTTACCAGGGGGAGCTCTCTAGACCTTCCAGATCTCAGCCCCTTCTATGCTATATGACCAGGCAGTATCGCCGAGCTCAGGGTTCTCTCCCAGCACAGCATTCTATACCTGTAATTAGTATCAAGCAATAGCTAAGTAGCAATAGCTAACTCTTTAAATGGTCTTCAAAGACCACAGTGAATGCGAAATGAAGTTACTGATTCTGAGCTGCATGTAAATCAGTTTTATTTCCTGCACAGACCTACAGTATGTAGGTTTATAACAACTTTGCAATTTCAAATTTGAGCTTGAGGATGTAATATAAGCCAGCAAGATATTAGTTTTTCTTGTCAATGTATCAGAAATACTATGTGCCCTAACATACATTCAAGTGCATTAAGGTGCAAGACATGTTTGGCGCAATTTGTTGCTATTTTCAGTTCAGCCCAACCCTAATTTACACATTTTGTGCCACATTGTTTAACTGAAAGAGACCACGCCATTGACCATCTAAAAAATTTCTACAAAAATATAAAAACTACTGCCTCCAAGCCTTCTTCATGTCCCGGGGGGCTTTATTCTGTTAGACCACACTTTGTTATTATTGTTAATTTATTTGGTAATAGGAAATTAAATATGTAGACTAATGGATGTCTTCAGTGGAGTGTGAACAACACTGTTTACTTATACACAAAAGTAAAGGAGTAAAGAGTAAAAATAAAGTAAAGAGGCCAAATGGAGGAGGCTTGTTCTTTATCCTCTTGCTGCAGATGGTCTGTTTACCTGTTTTCTCGCTAGTGAAGCATTCAGTTTTTCTATTCAGTTTTTCCTCTTACAAAATCCGCCATGTAAATAGCAAATGCACCATAGTGCTATTCTACTGACTCTTAAAGGGAATGGGAGATGAGACTCTGATTGATTTAATGCATGTTATACTCAAAACACACCCATTATTCATTAAGGGAATAAGCACTAGCTGTTAGACCATGCACAAGGATGCAAAGCATATTTTACAGTCCTTAAAATAGCAAAAGAGGATTCGGACATGCCCTTAATGCTTTTGCGCCCTGCACTTTAAACTTAGCACATATATCGGTAAAATAGAGCCCTATGTTTTCTGTTCTGTTAAAAGAAAGATGAATATGCTTGTTGTTTTGAAAGACGAGGAGTCAGGTTCAAATTGATTCAGTAAAATCAATACCATTGTTATTGTTTTTATCAATGTGTTTACAAGTGTGGAGAAAGACCCAAGAGCTGAATTTCATGTATTATGTTTGCCATGCAGTTTAAGTAGTAGACCAAATGTCTCAGCCATCTGACCAATAACAGGAGAGTATGCTTGAACAGAAGTTTCTTGAATAATCCATTTCAGACATTGTAAGAAAAGAAGTGTAGCTGCAGCGCATATTAAAGGAAAAAAACTTTATTTTTTGACTCAGTTTAAGCCTATTATTTGAGAACTCATTTATAAACCTTAAAAATAGCATAAAAGGGGCACTTTAAAATGGTTTTTGTTTTTTGACTTTCCCACATAGTCATCATCAGTCCTTTGATTATCCAGGACAAACCATTAGGCTTTTCCACAACACATTACTTTAAATGGCCTTGGTGAATATTGCTCTATAAATCTTTCATCAAAATTGAAAAGCTTCTATGAAATTACTTCTCTCTTATTTGGTCGTGAAATCAAGGCCGTACAAAAAGGGAAAATAGCATTTCATAATCGATCATAGTTCAGCATGCAGGCATTTCAAATTAAGATTAAAGGTTTGCCTTACAATATTTCCAGCTGAATAATTGAAGTAATGGGAATAAGTGATTGCGGCGGGTACCACATCTAAAATGCTGGGCATCTAAACAGGAAGATGCTATAAGAGGAAGTTATTAAAGATATCTGCTATATAAAAGAAAGTGCTTAAGAAATGATGAAATACATTATGAATGGATATTCAGTTTAAAAAGCCTTTCTGATATCATATAAGAACTCATTTTACCTTTTAATGGCTTCACAAAATTCCCCCTGGGGACTAGTAGTTCATTGCTTATAAATGTTTGATCATTTCTCATTTCCTGGTGTGGTAACTTAAGTTACAAAACCCCATGCCGTTTAGTGCAATGATCAAAACACTTGCTTTTAGTGTTACATTTTCTGAAAAATAATTATGTTATGATTCGTTGTATTGAAGCATACTGTTTGATATAGCCTGCAATATAAGTTGAAGTTTTGTCATTCAGTGTAATGCTGATTTTCTGTTAAATGCCATTACATTCATTCATTCATTCATTTTCTTTTCGTCTTAGTCCCTTTATTAATCTGGGATCGCCACAGCGGAATGAACCGCCAACTTATTCAGCATATGTTTTATGCAGCTGATGCCCTTCTAGCTGCAACCCATCTCTGGGAAACATCCTCATTCACACACATACACTATGGAAAATTTAGCTTACCCAATTCACCTGTACAGCATGTCTTGGGACTGTGGGGGAAACCGGAGCACCCAGAGGAAACCCACGCAAACACGTGGAGAACATGTAAACTCCACACAGAAATGCCAACTG